TATATATATAAATTAATTATTAAAAGATAGAGTTTATAAAAAAAAAGTTTAGTTTACATCTCTTCAAACAACTTTGACATCAATTGCCAAAACAACAAATCGCATGAATAACTTAATTACTGCGGCTATCAATCAGTGTTACATAATATATAAATTTATAATATTATACGTAAATATATTTAGAGAAAAAAACAGTATTTATATATATATAGCAAATTAGTATTGATAATAATAATAATAATAATAAAAATAGCTTAAAATTGTTTTAATTTGTTTATATATAGTTTTGATATTAGCCAGGATTTGCATTTTTTGTTGTTGTTGTGTTGTCTGTATTTAATGAACACGTTTTTTTCAGATACAATTTATACGGTACTTAAAAAAATTGCAACGTTTTAATTAGTATTATCCAATCCTAATTGTGTAATGATATATATATAAATATATATATTTGTGTATGTGTATGTAAATTACAAAATTTTATTTAGTTTTTTTATGATAGTTAATGGTTTTCAATCTTTTAAGCAAAATAAAGGATACATTGTATAGTAGTTTATAACAGTAAATAAAATAAAAAGTAATTGTAAATAATAGTTTTTTTTTAAAATTACATATATGAAAACAAATATTTTTTTATAAATATTTTTGTTAGAGATTTTGAATGAAAACAACAACAACAGCGAAAATAATATAATTATAATTAGTATTTTGAAAAGTTGTCTTTTAAATTAGCAATTTTATCAATACAGTGGCCATCAATTAGTGACCTATTGTCTCATCCAATTGGTTGCCCACACAATACAATACAATATATCAGTGTATAGTTAGTTAGCCTCTGACCATTTGATTGGGAAAAAAATAAGATTATATTATTATTATACCCCAAACACCATACGTATGGCTCGAAAGTAAAAACAAAAATAATTAAATAAAATACAATACAATTTCCAGGTTTTTACTATACAGTAGACTTGATATTAGTTGATAGCATACGAGTAGTATTATACGAGTAGTAGTTCAGTGTCTAAACAAATGAGAGATTGGATGCACTATTCAATTGTCGGATACACTGAATTAAGTGATCTCTCTCTCTCTCTCTCTCTCTCTCTCTCTCTCTCTCTCTCTCTCATGAGTTTACTGTTTCGGACAAACATTAATTTAATTATTTCATTTGGATATTACCTTAACATTACTGAACAATTAGTTTAATATATATATATATACAAACATACAGTACAATCTCGTTAAGCATACAGTAGATAGACACACACACACACACAAATACACCGGGAATAGTTAAGAGTATAGTTTGTATAAATAATTATCTAAATTTAGTTTACAATTAATGCATTTAATTTAATTTAATATACAAAAAAGTTAACTAATCTCTAACTAAAACATAAACTATTTTTTTCTTTTTTGAGATTTATTTTTATTTATTACATTAATTTATTGTATTGATTATGGCTATTGTGATACACACACAAACAATTGCATTAATAGCAAACAAATTGTTGTTGTTTTTGAGTTAATAAAAGTGTTTTTGATTAAAAAAAATACAATTTAACTGAAAATCAAAACAAAACAACATTTAAAAATCTGTTTGTTTTGTAAGAAAATATTGATATAACAAAATCCTTGGCCCGCTATTTATGTCACACATAATAAACACTCATTTTATTACATTTAATTGAATCAATGAATCTTTTGGATGTTTTTTGTTAACGATATAACAAACAAACAAAAAAATCAAAGACAAACTAAAATACAGTTTAGTTATGTTATATAACTTATATACCTATATATTTTATATATACTAATTTGCAATTAGCTTTTGGTTAGCTATTAGTATGTTTTATATATTAATAATATTAGTATATTTAGTTTACATGTAGAATATATTTATATATACAGTATAATGATTACCAAATATATATATATTGTATATATATATATATATATAAAGTTATATACACTATTATCTGTATAGCCTAATAGCAACTACTGTAAATAGCTTATGTATGTAAAGTATGTATTGCCTCTATAATTGTATTTAGCGATCGTGACTTAACCGGACAACTATATTAGCTAACAGATAGAAGTAAATTTGGTTTTTTATGAATATATAAAGCAAAATAATAAATGTTTGGTTATATATATATATATATATATATATATATATACTGTATATAAATGAATAACATATACATAGTAGATGTATATATATTATATCATATATAATACAATATGTTAAGGGATATACTGTATGATAAAGGGAATCAATTCTCAATGCAATCAAACTCAAGATTTATGCACTTATTTATATGTCTTGTTATATAAGTATTGCTAAGTATTTTTTGTTGTTGATGTTGTTGTTAGTATTGTTGTTGATATATTGTATACTATATATATATATATATATATATATACTGTATGTAACGTATATAACATTACAATTCAAATGAAATAAATAGATGATGAAAGAGAAAAAGCAAAAGAAAAAAATAACAGAAAAATAGCTTAACTTTTGTTATTCATAATGAGCTATAATAGTGATGTATGAAATAGAGAGAGAGAGAGAGATTGTTTGATATATATATATATAAAAAACTCAATTCCTATGGATGACAGGATATCTTCAATAATAATATAAAAAACAAACTATACTTTCTAACAAAACAACATATATTTATTTTTTTTAGTTTATTTTAGTTTTTTTATTAGTGAAGAAAAATCAAATTGTTTAAAATTAATAGATGATAAAGGATAATATGATAATAAGATAATATAATAAAATGTTTTTTTTTGTTTGTTACTATTGTAATGGATAACAATACTTCAATAATATACTTCAACTATTTTTATTATTGAAAGTTGATTGAAAATGTTTGATAACTTATGTAATGTAATATAATTAAACAAATAAACAAATATTGTATTTTAATTTGATTTGTTTGAGATCTTTTTTGGTTATATGATTATATAAATTAATATATACCGTATATCACATTAAAGTCTACAATATTATACTATATAGAGATTAGTAACAATACAACAACAAAATCATTAATATTTTTTATTATATTTAATTTTTGTTTTCTAAATTTAGCAATATTTGTATAAAAAAAAAAAATTATGCAAACACTTCACATATATTTTTTTAAATTTTATGTAATACTAATTTATTGGTGTCGTCTCATTAACCGTTTTTATTACTCCTTTTATATATATATATAAGTTGTTTATATATATATATCCTACCAGTGCTCTATCTATTTAAATACATTTATTTAGCCTTAAATATAGTGAGGTTCAGTACTCGACTAATTGGTTGGTTACCAGTGGATATAAAAACTGTATAAAAATAATAATAATAATAATTTTGTGTTTTTCCAATTAAATGCAATACTAAAAATTTTTTGTTATATAAATTTTGTGTTGCTCAGATAAAATAGGATTCTGTAATTATATATATGTATATACAGTATATAAATTTATATATACAATACTACTTTATATCTAATTTTTGTATTTATGTTAATAGTACTCGTGATAGGAATTTCTTTATATATATAGATATATATTGTATATAATACTAAATATATTAATAAATATAAATACAATGTAATTAAGTTTTTCCTAATCATTGCAATGTTTATTATTATTGTCTTTTATTATCTCAATGAATACTAGTAAATAGTTGTTATATATATATATACAGTATATTCAAACAATATGTAGTTTAGTATTATTATTACTTATGGGATTTTATTATATTTTATGAGTACTATAAATCTAAATTTACGATTTGTTGATGATATTCACTGATTTAATGATTGTTGACATTTTGAATAGTTATCTCATTTGTATTTATCTTTATTTATAAATATAATTACATTATTTTGAGTATTATTATTATTATTATTATTATTACTGTATTACTACTGCTATTGTGTTCAGACATTTGTTGACATTTATTTGTTTTAAAAATTATGTTTAATTTTTAACTATTTTTAAACATAAATTTAAATAATTGATTGAATTGACATTTTAGATCTAAATAGTACTGTATATATTATTATATTATTATTATTATTTTAATCTAGTATAATTTATTCCTTATTTTACTTTATTTTAGTCTTAAGTCTATACAGTTATTTTAAGTAATTTATATATTTTAATAATAAATTATTTTTTATGTAAATGTATAAAATAGTCTCTAAATATTGTTAGTAAAGTTAAATATAATAATTTGATAAATCTAAAACTTTTACATTAATTATGTGACTAAAATATTAAAAAAAAGTTTCTTTAATATATATCAGAGATTATTATGTATTTTATTTTCTTATTATTTTGTAATATAAATTTCAAATATTTAAATATCAAATATTATTTTTTATTAGTATAATCTATAATTTATCGTTACTAACATAAACTATTATAATTATTTATAACTATTTATTTAGTATAATAAAAAAATACAGTTACATATTAATGCATTTTATCAAACAAACAAATAAAACAAACAATTTTTTTTATTTTTTTTTTTGATGATATTTAATAATATAAAAACTTATGAATGATTAATAGTTTTGTCAAGAAATAAATATTAATATATATTTAGTAAAAATAATAATTAAAAAGTAAAGCCATAACTAATTATTTGATTAATTTATCATTTTATATGAGAGACCTGTCATTAACTCTCTCCCACCGATTATTTAATATCATAATAATAATACTAATAATAATAATGTGTAGCAATAAAACTAATTTTTCAAAATAATTTATTGTCACTTATCATGAATTTTGTTTTAAACAATTACATTATAAATAAACAGTAGTTATCCATACATTAGATAAATATAAATAAATATAATTTATGTGTGTGTGTGATTTTTTAAACTATTAATTATTATTATATACAAATCATATATATATTATATATTTATATATACTGTATACTAACTACCGGTGCTTATTATTATTATTACCAGGTGTTCAATCACTGCAAATGGTTCGGATATCGGCACCCGATTACATACGGTTTGGCGACCCATTATGGCTCAACTGTAGCTGCGATTTGCCGATACAATCAATTTATTCAATCAAATGGTTTAAAAATAATCACGAATTTTATCGATACATTGTCTCCGACGCCAAACCTAAAACCTTTTACAACACTACCGGCATTTACCCCGACGTATGTGACTTATAATGAAAAATAATAATAATAATAATATCAATAATATAAATCATATTTTATAATATATATATATATATTATAATATATTTATATGTCTATATAATACAAAATTTATTTCTTTTCTTTATTTTTTTGCACAAAACAATTGGTTAACTTATTTTTCCATTACATTTCGAGAAATGAAATAAAAAAAATGATATATATATATAGAAAATATCTTTTTGTTTGGTTCACTGGGAAAAAAATATTTTTTTGGGGTCAGAAATCAAATCTGAAAACAGAGACTTTTAGAAATTTAATTTATATACACATATATTTGCTGTATATAATCTCATATGTATCAGTTATAGTAGTAGTTGTAATAGTAATAGATTTATATACCAGAATATTCTGGTGATTCTGTGATATACTACAGTCTAACACTGGAGTGACACTTGATTTATGGCATCGGTTTTACCAGTGATTATCCATTTGAATAGTAGTGTAAAACTCAGAGTATACACTGTATATACATTATATATATATATMTATATATATATACTAAAACTTAGTTTTGTTAATATACAGTAAAACTTTTTGAACTCTCATTTTCAAACAATGAGCAAACAAACAAAAAAAAAGTTTTATTTTCGAAAAATTATAATTAAGTTTTAATACTATAATAAATTAGTTGCAAATTTTAATAAATTGTTTTTGTCTTGGGAAAATAATTCACAAATTTTCAAAATTCAAGATTTAATTTTCAAACAAAATAATTAGTATATATATATATATATATATTTATGTGTTATATATTTTGTTAATTTTATATAGACTTAATTATCAGTAAAGTATTTATATATAAATATTATACAGTATTTTATATTATTTATTTTGCTTCTAATTAATTTAGTTTTAAATTTTAGTATTAGAAACATTGTTTTAAAATAAAAAAAATTATTTAGTCGTATCTATTAATTTACTTTATATGTTTGACTTAATCAGTAAAATAATTTCATTAAGCAGTCATATCATTAATTTATACAAAAAAATATATATAATTTTTTTCTGCTAACATTACATAACAACGAAATCAATTTATTCATAGAAAAAAATTATTTATGTAAATCAGGTTTTTATGAATTGATTATTATTATAGATATATCTAATGAATCTAAAAAATGCATAATAAATTGATAATTTTTTTTGAGAAACATTTTATATTTTTGTTTAAATAATATATTTATTACAAACATAACCAAAATATTACCTTGGCTCATTAATAATAATATTGGAAATTTTTATTTATTTAATTATTTTATTTATAATAATAGTAATTTCTCAAAAAATATAATTAATTACAATATATATATATATTATAGATAAATTTATAACTATTAATATTTATATAGTCTCAGTTACTTTTTAAAATAAAAATTAAATTAATGATAAAAAAACATTGTATTTCAAATCAATCAATGTATTGTTTTTTTCTTGTTGTTGTGTTATTTTGCACTCAAAAAAATCACGACAAAAATTTAATACTTGAAAAATATTTTTTGAGATGATTTATGGCACAGGTTTAATGTTAGTGTCACTTATATAACTTAAATAAAAAATAATAACATTGTTGTTGTTGTTGTTATAGTTATTATTATTATTATTATTATTATTTTCAGACAACAAATCTTTAAAAATAAGTGCTATAATAATGCCTTTAGTTATATAATATGTATATACAATATATTAGCAAAATAGTTGCATAACTTTTTATTTAAAAAATATATTGCAATAATTTATGCCATTTTTATGTGATGTGACATTAAAAATATTGAACCAATTTTTTTTGTGTTACTTGTATGCATACTTTTAACATTTATACGGCATATATATATTATATTACTTTTTATATGAAAAAACTGTTTACACTTTTTTTTGGCAAAAAAATTATATTTTAACTATAAATTTTTTACATTACATGTAATCTCTTTACATTTTTCTATACAGTATGAAACTTGTATTAACATATCACTTATATTAGAGAGTATATGTTAATACAAAAATATAAATATATAGTATATATATTTTGAAATTATTTTAATTAATTATTTAAAATAAAGTATCTTTTTTAAAAAAAAACATTATAAATATTATATAATAAAATTTTTTTTATAACTAATTAAATCTGAATAAATATTATATTGAAAATTATTTTATAAAAATTATTTAACTAATTTTATTTTTAAATTTTTTTTATTGGTGTTAACGACAAAATAAAACAAAACCAGACCTCGAGTACAGAGTTTGGTAACATTCATATGACTCAAACGGATTTCCAGACAGAGGGCAGCTATCGGTGCGAGATATCATCGGAGGTCAGCTTTCAGACAATCCATGAGTCCAAAGATATCCGTGTCTACTGTAAGTCCTATATATTTATTTATATTTATTTTAAATATCAAAATATTTTTTTATTATTATTAAATAAAAATGTTTTATTTTTAACCATATTTTGTTTGACACATTTTTGACATATTTAACTGACATACTAGTGCATTATGCATATTGATATTAGATTTTTTAATATATATATATATATATATATATAGAAACTAAAGTATATATATAATTTATTTAGTATAATTTTATACTGTATTATACTATTATATGATTATAGGAATATTTTTTTAATAGAGTATATACAGTACTGTAATATATTTATACTGTATATCAACTGTACATATATATACATGTATATAGATATTATAAGTTATATTAAAGGATACAAAATGCACTCAATTTTATAATTTTTGATGTTATAACTTATGCATAATATATACAATTTTTCAAAAAAGCAAACTATTTTTTTAGTTTTATATTATATATATATATAAATATATATATTTGCAAGTAATATATAAAAGTGATACTCAATTATAAAAATTGAATTTTTTTTACTCTTTTGAGAGTTTATATCAGTCATGCGTTCACTCATTGTCTATGGTTTTTGTAAAATTCATGTGAGAATTCTTTAAGTAATTTTAATATTATTGATATAAAAAACCGAAGGCTTTAAAGAATATTATTATTATTTATTTAAGTATTTTTTATTTATATATTGAATTAAAAATCTTATGAATATATTTATAAGTTAACACAAACCATATACTGTGTGTGTAATACATATATATATATATAWAKTATAATAAAATAATATCATTTATTATAATTTTGAAACTTTTATTTGAATCTAATTTTAATGACTTAATTTTATTTTATTTTATCAAATATCATATAATATTCATTATTTTCATTTATATTAATGGAATTATTATTTATATAATTTAACTGAAATGTTGTGCTAATAATATGCATATAAAAAATAATACTACTATTCATATATATATATAAACTAAGTTTATATTATTTTACTGTATTTAAAAATTATTATACAACCAGAATAAGCCTATTGTATATAAATTCTGGTAATATATATATATATAATATTATATTACAGGAATTTAATACTTTATTTCCATTGTTTTTTGCAACAAACAAAAAATCTCATGTTTTTTGTAGTCTCTGTGTTTTGTTTGTAAAAATCTCAACTATTTTTTTGGTTGCATTTTATACAAACACATGCAAATACATTGTATTCATAGACAACTAACTGTATGTTAAAAATCATTAGCTATTCAGTAGTAGTAGTAGTAGTAGTAGTAGTAGTGATGAATAAAACTTTTATTTTTCTCACTTACTATCTCTTTGAGAGAAAGAAAAAACTAAAGTCTCAAAAACAAAAACAATGTTTTTATTATTATTTTTTTTTAAAAAAAAGGGATTTACGGTGTTTTTTATATGTGCATTGATTTTATGTGTTTGTATTTAAAACATTGAAAGCTAATGTATACATAAAATAAAATAATGAGAGAAATGTTGTTAAATATTTAAGTACAGTACTGAATATTTTCTACTATTTTATTATTAACTTTTGGACTTTAAATATCCATAATTTGGTCATAAAAAACATTAATAAATGCATAATAATAATAATTATTATTATCATCATATATAGACTTTTTTATATACATTGTTTGCACTATTTTTATTAAAAAAAAAATAAATCTCCGACCCTTTATATTGTGAATATAATAATAATAATAATAATAATAATGACATTTTGTTAATTAAATGCATTAAATTTAATTAAATGTCTAATAAAGAAAATATTTGTTATGATAATATTTGAAAATTTATTCTATACATATGGTTAGTATAAATTTTATATATAGACAGAAAATGATAATATATATATATATATATATATTTGATTTGTTTTATTTTGTCTAACATTTAATATAAACAGTGTTATGAAACAATAATAACAAAAAAAATTAGAGCATATTTTTAAAGCTTTAAATGAGAAAAGTTACAGTAAAAAAAACTTTTTTGTTTTGTTTTACTTATATAATATATAAACATATTGTATATATTTTTTTAATATCTCATCCATTCATTCAAATTCACAAAACGTTGACAACGATTACAAACATCACAGCATTTATTGCAAACAACAAACAAACAAAAAATAAATAAACAAAAGCTCTTAAATATATACACAACACACACACACACACACACACACACATACACATGAATTGTGATAAATATTATATTTATAAATGTTATATGAAATAAAAACTTATATAACTTTATACAAACACAATCACATATAGTGTGTATAAAATCGTATATAAATACAATGTATTGCTTTTTTTAGAGACATAGGATTTTGTGTCCACTGTTTTTACGGCTATATGAATGCCACTTATGGAGAGACATATGAAAGTTAAACAATAATTTCTTATATATTTATATATATATTGTTTTTACGGCATCTCGTGTTTTGTGTTTGTTTTCATTCATCTTTTACTCTCTCTCTCTCTCTCTTTCTCTCTCTTATATTTTGACATTTTTATGGAGACATTGATACCATACAGACTTATGTGATTCACTTAAATATATTTTTGATAACATTTTTGACTCCTGAAAAAATGCTGTTCAGTATTATAAACACACACTCAGAGAGAGAGAGAGAGAGAGAGAGAGAAATAAAAAACATGAAAAAACTGTTTATCTTTTTATCATTTATTCTCATATAAAAACTTAAATAAGACACACAAATATATACAGTATATATCCATTGTCTATATAACATTATATTGTCTATGCATTTATTTATATATTAGTGTATTTATATATAAAGTTATATACTGTATATATATATATTGTATTTTATATTTATATATATATTTATATTGTAAATCTTCTTATTTTATGGCAATTTCTGAATATCTGATGCCTGGTCTCACAAATCCCTTTCACTGAACCTAATAGTGCTCTATATTATGATTATTATTATTGTTTTATAAAAAACAAAACAAAAAGTTTTTTTTGTCTCTCAAAAGACAAAACGAAAGAAGATTTCAAATTTATTTTTATTTTCATTTTTTGCTTAAATTTTTTTTTTAAATAAAACTTTCTATTCATTAGAATACAACTCAACAAATATTTTAAGATATAGTATATTATTTTTTATTTAATACTTTTGCTAAACATTTTTAAAAAATAAATTTTTACGTATTATTTTATTATTTAGATTTTGTTTCAACACTTTATAAAAATGATATCAGATTTTCTAAATTTATTTTTACTTATTGTTAAAAAAATGTAAATAAAATATATATATATATAACTATATTTATATAATATTTGATATATCAATATATTAAATAAATATATTATAAATAGAAAATGATATTATATTTAAATTTTTATAATACATATTATGTTTTGTGTCAAATTTGAATATAATTTTTAATGTCAACAACAATATTATTGCATTTGTCTATTGTAATGTACGGTATTATTATTATTATTATTATTATTATTACAATATAAAACATTTTTTGACAATGAATATAATAAATTTATGGGACATACTTTTTTGTATATTTATACATATAATTTTTATTATAGTTTTAAACATTTTTCATAAGCACTTTTATTATTTGTTTTATATATATATATAAAAATAATAAGATATTTATATAATATATTACACAATGAATATATATGTAATTTAATGTAAATGTGTTGCAACATTTGTAAAAGCAATTGCAATATATTATCTATATATATATACATTATATTTTAATAAATTATATATCGTTAGCAAACAAAATATATACTATAGTATTATTATTAACAAAAAAAGTTACATTTTAGTCAATAAAACAAAACAAAATTACTGTAAAGTTATTATTAGTGTTTGATGTTAACATTTAACAAGAGTTTCGATGATAACACTTAACTTTAATTTCATTTATTATTATTATTATTATTAATACTATATAATTAATAATTCAATTATTATATCTAATAGATAGAAATAAATCTCATCAAACATTGTTTGAATTTTTTTTATTGCATTATTTATATATTATATATACAGTATATATAATATTCATTCAATAATTTATTGATTGTTTCTGGGGTTAAGTGTAGTCATTATATAATGTATGGGTTAGCAGTTAATTGAAATCGATCTCAGATTTTAACGCATAATAGACTAGACTTGAGGGCAGATAACAAATATATATATATATAATTAGATTAGCATAAATTAATTTGACCTTTGACCTCATTCATTAATTATTTTGATTTAATATTTTCATATGAAATATAGCAATAGATATATAATATTGTGTTATAATTTTAATATATTATGAAATGTTAAAATATTTTTGTTAAGTATCAGAATTTTTCAAATATATTTAACACATTTCATATATATATATAGTATTTATTAATTTATGATTACTTAAATCAAACAAGTTTTATCTGTTTATAAATACTTTTTAAAAAATTGCACAAAAATCTATTTTACTATAAAATATTTATTGCAATTAATTATATCGTCAAATACTGTATATATATATATATATATACATTATATAATAATCATAATAATCTCTTATTAAGTAACTCAATAACAATCAGTTAAATCCTATAATCGATAAGTTATTTACTTTACTGTATAATAAAGACAAGCGTTTTTGTTAAAGACATTGTATTTAACTTAAATAAAATAAAGTATTATTATTATTAATATACTTTATAAATATAAGATTGTATTGATTTTTAAAATATATATATATATCTGAGTTATTCAATCGTAAATTTCTACATAAATTCTTCAACAAAATAATATATTAATCATTAGATTAATTGTTTAATTTTCTTCAAGTACTTTATATATAAATATATGTTTTTATTATTCAGATTTTTGTTTTTTATCTATCAATTGTTGTTAACCATAGTTTTTTTTTTATTATAAATTAATAATATTTATTATTTTG